CACCCCACCACACTCCACGGGTTTTGCGCAGTAATTCTACGCTCTCATAAATTTTACAATTTCCAGCACTCTTAACCGTTACCTACTGTGGTTCCTGCTTCCTAAGTGTTAATGCATATACTTACAGTATAGAATTATTAAGTTTTCAATAGCATTCATGTAGAGCGCGCGTGTATGGATGTATGTATATGTGTGCTTCGGCATAGTTCCTCGTATTTTAGGTGACCGTTTTTAGAGATACAGGATGCCCAGGTGTTTCTCTCCGTAGTTTCTTGTATCTAGTGTGACGTGAATTTCGGAAATTCAGTCACAAAGATTGCTAGGAATAGGGAAAAGACACAATCCACCTGCAACGATCCTCAAAACGTCAGCCACCCGACATTCCAAAGGCGGCTTTGCTTGTCTCGCTTACCGTTTAAGTACTCTGTTTCCACCTATCGTCCTTACTGCTTATTTCTATTCCGTCTTTCTGCTTTTTTTTTTGTTTTAATTTTTTATTTTCGAGCTTTCCTATTCGCACTCGCCTACCTTCTTTACCGGCCTGGGCAAATCTACGTCAACACCACGAGCACGAAGCTGACCGCCAACGAGAGTTCCTGAGCTACCGGACGAGCGATCGACAGAGGCTGGACCAAACTGCTGTTCGTTCCGGAGGACTTCCGTGGAGCCAAGGAGACCCGGGATGGGATCCCTCTACTACTTCTGCCGGCCGCCCATACGGACCGCAAAAAGGGCCTTCGCCACTCGTGCCGCCGATAGGAGGAAAGGATAATCCTCTATCGTGCCGCCCAGTCGCCGAACGTTCCCTAGCGCTCCTGTTATCAGTGGCCCCCGGAGAAGAAACCAGGGCCTACTCTTCGCTGGATCCTGCTGCTCGCACCGAGGACTCACGATCGGCCGCACCAAGGATTCCCGCGCTCAGCTCGGCTCTCTCCGTCGATCTTCGGACTCGAGCCACCTAATGCTTCGTCTCTGGCTACAGTCAAGCGTTAGATTTACCTATTCTGTATTATTATATTTTGCTATCGCTCTACCGTGCGAATTAGGAATTATTAATTTATGGAGGGGGGCCCCTAGGGCTCTTCCTCTAGCGACGAATTCCGGCTCGTTCATTTACGTTTGGTGCATCTCAGCTAGTGGTCGCGTAAAGTAGTCCGTCCTAGTGAACAAAGAGCAGCCGATATCCGAATTATCTTCCGCCGAAGTTGAAGGAAGTCTCTGGGCTTACCTCTCCCGACATCGCTGTTGTAGAGAATATTGTATATTGAAGGAAGGAAGGAAGTCTAAGGACCGATTTTCCCGATTCCGTATCGAATATATTTGGTGAGCACATTTCGTTACCTTTATTTTGTAGATTTTGTGAATTCATCTGAAGTAATCCCGTCTAGGCTCTTCGTCTTGACGGCCAATTTTCTCGCTTACCGGGACTGAATGTCGTTCCAGTCCCTCTAAGTAAAAGGACGATAGTGCCGGATACCGTTATCTTATTTAACTTTTCTTCGGTTACCGTAGAGTATCTTTTATATCGAATGTATTGTAATTAATTGCGTTTTGCTGTAATTTGGTGCTTTGGAATTGTCGAATATTTTATAAGTTACCGATTATCTTCTCGGCCACGTGGAAACCCCTAAGGCCC